TCCCTTTTGATCTGTTATGGCTAGAGAGGTAAATTAAAATTTCCTGTTATTAGTAGGTTTTTATATCTCTTTGATTCTGCTAGTTATTGGTACATAAGGAGTTGTAAATGTTATATCTTTACTGTGAATTACTTTTGGAATTAATGTCCTCCCCCCCTTTTTTTGCCTCATTTTATGCTTTTTATCCGAGTTCTGCCTTCTCTGATATTAGATGGTGACCTTTCTTTTGTGTGTGTATATGTGGTATACCATTCTTCTACTGTTAGCCATTCTGAATTATGTTAGGTATTTCTCTTGAAGACAGTATATAGTGGATTTAAGAATCTAATCCGAAGTCCATTTATATTTGCCAATATGACAGATATATTTGAACTTAGTTTTATTATTTTCTATTTCCTGAATTTATAGATTGTTTTTAGGTTTTTGACTGTAAGGCCTGTTTTCTGTTTACTTTGTTTTGATTTCTGCATGTGATGTTACTGATATTAAGAAAGGTTTGCACTTTTAATATCATTGTTACTTTTGTAACTATGGCTTTATTTAATATTCTTAGTTCTCCATAAATCTGAATTAATTAAGGTTCTTTATAGAAATAGAACCAATAGAATATACATATATGAACGTTCATAAGTCAGATTTATTCGTAAGTCCAACAAAGTGAGTCTTATACAGCTTTGACACAAATATACTGCTCCACATCACCACTGCTTTTCCTGTTGCTTCTGGACATCCTGTGCTCTGATGGAGCACTGTACTGCTATACACTATTGCACTGTACAGTAAGCACACAGCAGCACAACTGTGACAATGTCCGGCAAACACATGAGCTACTTCCGCAATTTGTTCACAACTTGAATGTTTGTAAATTGGGGACTCACTGTGTGTGTGTGTGTGTGTGTGTGTGTGTGTGTGTGTGTGTGTGTGTGTGTGTGGAAAGAGAGGAATTGGCTCACATGATAATGGAGGCCGAGAAGTNTATTATATTTACACCACAAGAGCTATAGTCCTTTGATAAAGTATGGTTCTTAATTTCAAAGCACTCTTATTTGTACTGGCATTATCAAAGGCATTTATGGTACTTTCATTATCTATGAAGCATGTGCTAGACTCTGAAACTGCTGAGAGAAATGAGAAAGGATCCTTGTCCTAAAAAGCCTTATTATCTAGTTGGCAGAGACTGAATTCTTTAAGGACAAAACTATTTTATTGTAGCGTAGCTGTAGGATGTAAAATAGCATTTAAGTATCGGGTCAACCCCTCCCTATTGGATCATTGCACTCATTGTTGTACTCATACTTCAATGTGCATTTGAGTCACCCAGGGATCTTGTTAACTAGCAGTTTCTGATTCAGTGGGTCTAGGGTGGGAACTATCATAAGATTCTTGATTTCTATCAAGGTTTCAGGTGATGCTGAGGCTACTGGACCACGGATCACCCAGAAACAAGTCTCTAGTAGTTCTCACATTGGCTCCATATAAAAATCACCTGGAGAGCTTTAAAAAATCTCGATGCCTCCAACCCTCTCTATGGGTGGGAAATTCTCCCACTGCCCACCCGCACAAGAATTTGGGAGCTTTTACTTCTCATTGGGCTTCCTGGCCTCAGACAATAGGGGTTAAAGGTGAGCCCCACATGTTTAGAGTAATGCCACTCCTCATCACGCTGGGGGATGTCATATGTTGCTTGAAAAGACGATGGAAAGGGTAAAAGATGAAAGACAAGAACTCATGTGTCATCAGCATCATGCAGCTTCCCTCAAAATTTCCCAGTTATTTCTCCAAGTCACATTAATAGACCAAGGTTCTGCATTGTTTCTTAAGTATTTTTGAACTGCAGCTTTTAAAAAAATTGCATTTGTCTGAGTTTTTCACGTTGGGCCATCATATCTATTTATAACAGTCTCTTCCTGGTACACTGTTTAACACTAATAGACATCTTAATCAATATTAGGGATTATATTCACCCAAGGGTAAATACTAGATGGAACATGGGAAAATGAAAGCATTTCAATGACTTGTGTGTCAGCTACTGAGATACAAGCTACCAAGGCAGATAATTTTCTGTAGTCACATTTCTTCTCTTAAATATTTACTTAGAAAATTATAATTCTTCACAAAAGTTGAAAAATTAGTACACTAGAACCCATACACCTTTGCATNTAAATTTAAAGCCTGTTTGATTAGATGTTAAATCCTCAACTCTTGCTTTCCTTCCTTGAGTATTTTCTAGATTGTGTTACATTTTCTGGTGACAAATGTTGCTCTAGAGAAATCCAAGATCAGCCTGATTATTTCCTTCTTTATAACATAATTACTCTTTTTGCCCGATTTTTCAAAGGGTTCTTTCTGTATATTTGAAGACCAGTAATATATTAGGTTATGTCTCCATGTTGGCTCTTTGGGTATATTCAGCCTGGCACACTCTGTGGCCTTTCATTATACAGAGTTTATTTGAAATATGTCTTTAAATATTTGTCCTGTTCCATTGTTTAGATTTTCTTCTTAGGGATTCCAGTTGGATTTCCTATACCTGTCATCTGTAGCTCTCATTTTCTCTGCAGGCATTTTTAGTTCATTTTTATTTCATTGTATTTGCTGTTTTCATTTTATCCTCTATATCTTGTTTATGTTTTTCATACTGTGTTGTCCTGGAGTTTTTGTTTTTTGTTTTTTCACTCTTATTTTAATTTCTGTGATTTTTTTTCCTCTTTTTCTTTCCTCAGTTTTTATAGCTCATGCTTTATCTCCTCTGTTTGAACATTTCCTGCTTAAGATCTGGCATTTTTGTTTTGTGAGTTTTTCTTATAGAGGTGGTTGTTTTGTTATTTTATGGCAAACTTTTTTATTCACAATTTTATATGTTCTGTGGCTGCGTTGCTCTGGTGAATGTTTTTTATCTGTTGATAAAGTTTGCTGCCTTATGCCTCGTTTTTATTGCATTTTTATATTGATGCTGTGCTACTAACTGAATTTATTGAATTTTCCTCATTGAATGTATTGAATTTTGGTTCATACAAAGATACAGTCAAAGTTTCACATCATGCAAAGATCCATCTAATTGGATGTATTGAATTTTTCAGCTCTTTGCAAAAGTTTCCTAAAGTGGGAAGAAGCCAGGGCAATCTTCCACACTAGATAGTTTTCACAAAACAATGACGCTCCTTTCCCTAGTGGACTGTAAACTGCCTGCAAATATGGCTTATCTGTATAGTTTTTAGCTATCTTTGATTTCTCTTTAACTGAATAAACCAGGCTCAGGGGGCTGCTTCTTATAGTCATCTCATCTCCATTCTTGAACCCTCTGATTCAGACAAGAGATATAGCTTTTGCCTCTCAGATTGTGTCTCTGAACTTCAGGGAGTCTTTCTGTTTGTTTGTTTGTTTTTTATTTCTGATATTTGCTACTTCTGGACTGTCTTTTCCCTGGGCTTTCCTCTACTTGCTCCTTTGGGACTCCTGTGCAAACTCAGTTGCTTTTGGCATTGTTTACACATATTTTCGAGTCTGAACTCCTGGTTCCACCAAATGTAAGTTTGAATTCTTGTTTCCTAGGCTGCCTCCTGCCTTTGGATATGTTACTGGAATAAAGAGGGACTACTGAATATATGCAACCCTGTTCCTACTGGATCTCAGGATTTCTTTTTTCCATTGTTCAGGAATCTAATAATTTTAACATTGATCAGACAGTTTATAAATAAACCTACATTTCTATTAGGTATTAAGTCATTTATGGATCAGGTTATGAGAATAATTTGTAGCATCCATATATATATATATATATNTTCTAATCCGAGTCCAACGGCCTAAAAACAAGGAGAGTTGATGGTGTAAATTCCAGTCCGAGGTTGAGTCCAATGGCCTGAGAAGACCATTGTCCAAGTTCAAAGGTAGTCAGGCAGAGAGCAAATTATCCCTTATTCATCCTTTTTGTTCTAGTCAGGCCTTCAACAGATTAGGTGAAGCCCACTTACACTGAGGAGGGCCATCTTCTTTATTTAGTCGATGAATTCAAATGTTAATCTCATTCAGAAACACCCTAACAGACGTATATAGAATACCGTTTAACCAAATATCTGGATACCTCATGGCCCAGACAGGTTCACACATAAAATTAACCATAACAAGTCCACCCCTTGTCAATTTGGCACCCGTATGAATCTCCTTAAGCCATACTTAATCTCCAAATAATGGCATAGACAGGGTCATAATTCTGCCTAACAGGATACTACTATCCTGAGTACAGCCCAGATTGTACTAACCTCTTCCCCAGAAGAGGAGTCAAGTCCTTTAATGAGGGCTACTCTTTTCATTGATATCCTGTAACTTAAATACTATCGTCTGATGTTAAAATTAACAATACTTAAATACTGTAATACGTACAAAGTCAGTACTTTTGTGTTACATGATAAGGGAATAATAAGAGGGAAGAAAACATAGATATTTACTATATACACACAAACATAACAAAATAAGGAGGAAATACTCATGACAATTACAGTCCTTATTTCTGTAGCTGGTCACGTGGTCACAGCTGGTATTTATATCTAACGCCTTTCACTTCCCATTCTGTATCCCCCTTAGCCTTCAGCAAGCACCTCAGCTATTTGCGGTTCTTTACCTGGTAAAGTTACCCAAACCTTCATTCCTGAAGGGTCTAGGCCAGGGGTTGGCAAACTTTTGAGAAGGAAGAGCTGCCAAGGGCCAGCAAACTGCGGCTTGCAAGCCTCTGAAGTAAAATTGAAAATGAAAATAAAACAAAACTATCATAGTTTTATAAAATTTATAAAATTTTTAAAGGATATTCACATAATGGTGATTATGTAAAAATGTATTTATGGCTCTCGAATAATTTTTAAATTATTGTGAGGGACAGGATTGGCTCTTCCAGGGGTCGGCAAACTTTTGAGACGGAACGTACCCAAAGAGCTACATGTGGCTGGTGAGCTGCAGTTTGCCGACCCCTGGTCTAGGCTATTTGTTGTCCTTCCTGCATTGAGTTCTTACAGTTTTCCATTGATCTTAATCATAGGGCATGGTAGTATTTAAGACTAAGAGACATACTAAGGGATCTTTTGTATTTCAGATATACTCCTACTCTTCCTCACCTCCACTGTGGAGTAGCAGTCCAGTTTCCCCTCGGTAGTCAGATTCAGTCACCTCAGCCAGCACAGTCACTCCATCCTTTGTCTGTTGTTCCAAAAGCATGAGGAGTCCACAGTGGCTGGAAGGCAACTTTAACTTCAGTGAAATTGTTGTGTCTCCTGGTGAAAGCATTTCTGTTTTTGGAACTAAGACCTCTTGGCCAGTAGGGCATAAGAGCGGGAAATAGGAAGATTTTGCTAGTGGGTCACTAGGGTTAATAGTCAGTGGTGCCACTTCCATGCCCACCCGTTGAATCCTGGACCCTTGAATCCTAAATATGGGAGAAACAGCACTGTATATTCGATGCTGATTCAGCGCATATACAGTCTTCTGGAGAATATTCCCTAGCCCTGCAGTGTATTGCCACCTTGTTGGTACTCTGTCTTCAAAAGGCCATTGCACCATTCTGTCAAGTCAGCTGCCATAGGATGGTGGAGAACGTGGTAAGACCAGTGAATTCCATGAGCATGGGCCTCTAGCCACACTTCTTTTGCTGTGAAGTGAGTTCCTCGATCACAAGCAATGCTACATGTAATACCATGCTGGTGGATAAGGCATTCAGTAAATCCATGGATTGTAGTTTTATCAGAAGTATTGCATGCAGGGAAGGCAAATCCATATCTAGAGCAAATGTCTGTTCCAGTAGGAACAAAACAATGTCCCTTCCATAATGGAAGCCACCAGGTAGCTGGCTGATAACCTCAGGGAATGGTGCTATATTGGGAATCAGTGTAAGTCTCTGCTGCTGGCACATTGGGCACTCAACAGTGGCCATAGCAGGTCAGCCTTTGTAAGTGGAAGTCCATGGTGCTGAGCCTATGCATAATCTCCATCCCTGCCACGATGGCCTCTTTGTTCATGAGCCCCTTGGGCAATGATGGGATAGTTGGAGAAAGAGGCTGACTGGTATCCACAGAACAAGTCATCCTGTCCACTTCATTATTAAAATCCTACTCTGCTGAGGTCACCCTTTGATGAGCATGAGGCATGATTATCTTCATGTTTTTTGTTTTGCCCATTTGGAGAGGTCTGTTTACATACCTTTTCCCAAATTTCCTTGTGAACAATTTTCCATACGTTTTTAAGTTCCTGACCATTCAGCCAAACTGCTGGCCAGAGCCCATGAATTGGTATATAATCCCATAGCTGGCCATTTCTCCTTCCAAGCAAAGTGAACAGCCAGGTGCACTGCCCAAAGTTGTGCCCACGGGGAAGATATTCCTTCACCACTGTCCTTCAGGGATGTCCCAGAAAAGGGCTTTAATACTGCAAATGTGCACTTTTGGGTGGTGTCTGCATATTGTACAGAAATGCCTATAAACCAGGCCCAAGTCTTTTCTTCCTGTCAACTGATTGTAGGGAACCATAGGTGCAGGGTGGGAGGGAGAAGGCAGTGTAGCTTAAGGCTTGTTTTTTGTTCTCTTCATTTTGTCTTCTGTATGTAATCAACTAATATTAAGAAAGGTTTGAGGGGCTGGCCTAGTGGCTTAGTTGGTTAAGATCTTGCTCAAGTGTGAGCTCTGAGCAACAGGGTTGTGGGTTTGATTCCCACATGAGCCAGTGAGCTGAGCTGCCACTGAGCTGCCAACAGGTGGCAAGATGGCTCAGCTGGTGAGAGCATGTGCTCTTAACAACAAGTTTGCCTGTTAGAGATGGTGGGCTATGCCCGCCCACAACTAAAGACTGATCTTGGCACCTTGAGCTGAGCTGCCGCCCAGGTGACTCAGGGAATAGAGCATCCACTCTTAACAACGAGGCTGCCGGTTCGATTCCCGCATGGGATGATGGCTACGCCCACCCACAACTAATTGAACCCGGCACCTAGAGCTGAGTGGTGCAACTGGACTTGGAGCTGAGCTTGCTGCATCCTCCACAACTAAGATTAAAGGACAACAACTTGGCTGTTCCCCTTCCCCAATTCCCCAACACTGTTCCCCTCCCCCAATTCCCCAATAAAAAAATCTTTAAAAAAAAGTTTCAGTTTTGTTCTCACCATTTTTGCAATTATAGCTTCTTAATATCCTTAGTGTTTCATGTCTTTAGACACTGTCTATGAGTTTCCTTATGTAAGCAATGATAAAATTAAAATCTTTCCTGTTTTTCCTCCTTTCTCTGACTTGTCTCCATCACCTAATTTTAAAATTAGCTTTGTACTGTTAAATGTTTATACAGATGTTACTTAACATGTCATCTCTGAATGCTCTCCTGGTACTCCAGGTACTACACATGAGGGAATCTGTGTACTCTTCCTCCCACTTTCTTTCCCATTTTTCTTCCAGTTTTTGTTCCTGCTATAATTTCTACCTTGTTAAGACTTACAATATTTATATTCTTCTATGTCACTCTAATCTCTACATTTGTTTTGATCTTAGTTCTACACTTAAGTATTAAAGTTCACTGCCAGTCCTTTGTCTATAGAAGTTACTCAAGAATGGATGGGAAAAATATTCCTAAATCTTTGCATGTTGTGTGTAGCTTATAAATTTTTTTAAAGGTTTTTGTTGGGGAATTGGAGGGATGGGAACAGCACTGGGGAATTGGGGGAAGGGGAACAGACAAGTTACTGTCGTTTTGTTCTTCAGTCTAGTTGTTGAGGACGTTGCTTCACTGGCCCAAGTTAGCACCATCATTGTGCTCTTCCCGGGCGAGGCAGATTAGTCGCCGGCTTCTGGACAGCCGCTCACTGTGGCTGCTGGCTGCTCATGCTGGCTGCTGGCTACACACGGTAGCCCATGGCAACCCACTGCCACAGGGTCTGCAGCCTA